CTATATAAATATCGAGTTTCTTAATAGTTCGAGTTCTTAATAAAAATGCCACTCTATATAAATGTTCCACACGTGAATTTTAGTAAGAAGGAACTATTACAAGGAGATGTTATACAATGTAACATTCACTATCTGCATCAGGTTCAGAGTAACCCTAGTATAAATTGTCTAGTTTCAGCAAAAAAGCTACTAAAATAACTACAGTTTCCTCGTAGTCGTGTTCGAGCATAAACATTAAGGAACATTTCGAATTGCCCCCTGTGATACTTCTGCGAAGACGTAAATATATTGCATTGTTTCAGAGGTGGGGTCACAATCATCCAGCCACATCGGTCGCCAGCAACAGTGAATCTTGTGTAAAATTTTACCACTGTAACACTTCGAAGTTCCAGTTACGTATCGAACAGTTCCTTGCAAAAGACGATTTCCGTATCTGAACCCAATCGAGCAAAGCCTTTCCTAAGGCTAAAAAAGCTGGAGTTTAAGTTTTGCCAACGATATATACTGCACGATGAAAGCGATTGAATTCACAAGCGAACAGTGGAAACAAAATTTCGATTAGGAATGCAAATATAAACAACTTTCTTCGTTTTTTTTTTTGCATCTAAAAAAATTTTTTTATTCTGCCACAGATCGCTAACATGGTCTTCCTTTATTCTAGAGACACGTTGTCGCCATTCTGCCAAAATCAAATGTCTGAGAGAGCTTATTTTGAGCTCGGTCTTTTGAAATCGATGTACGCTTGCAATGAGCACAACAGATAAATTTAGGATACTGAAAATCTTTTTAAAAAAAAGATTATAAAACAAAGCATAGGTGAAAAAGATCAGGAAAAGCTAGTGAGAAACCTGATGATATGACTAAGGATAAGTGTTAAGTATTGACAGAAAACAACAGGCAACAGGTCCGATGATTTTTTGATCATTTTATAATTATTAATACTGCCTAATAATGAAATTTATTTACGTTTGAACTTTTCAAACGGCTTAAACGTGTAGTCTTATATTGATACGATTTTTCCTATCCCATTGAATAATCGTCGATTGGCACCCCTCCGAGAAAATCATTGTTATTCAAGCCATACAAAGGCGTCATTACAGCCTGTTATCTTGAGTTCAAAGCTAGTAATGGTCGTAGCAAGTGTTACGTAAAATTGACTTGTAAATAACCATCATAATGATAACAAAGGCCATATCTGTGTATGGAGGGTGCGCTGCAGGTGACCTCATAAATGCGGCATACCCGCATCCTTTCTCAATGCTTTTTCAGGCGCCAAACACTTTATTCAATTTTATTTATTAAATACTATCAAAATTATTACATTAGGAAAGCGTATACGCACCTCAAAGCCAGAAGTCCAATTAAACGTCTTGAATTCAAAATCAATAAACAGGCTTTTATACAAAAGGAAAAAAGACTGATTATCAATATATAAAACATCGATAGGAAACAAAAAATTGGAAAAAGAAGCAATAAATATATATGGCTAGAACTCACGCATCTGGACACAGAGAAAAGAAACAATATTTACTATTGTTGCAGCAAGAGCAGAAACCCTTTTGCCTGAAGAATAATTCGGCTAATATCTTTCTGGCCAAAATGAAATTTAGGACAACCATATTACCGATGGCCGTTAGCTGAAGATTTGAAACTTTCCACGATTTATATATGTAGGGAAAAAGGCATCTGCATGTAGACAAAGCATCGATTTTTTGAACGAATGATTTTATACAATTATTTCCCGTTCTGTGAATAGTCGGGGAACAATAAAGAATGTTTTTTTCTTTTGGTGTTTGCTGTAATGCAGTATTACAATTAAAGCGGACCTGTCAGGTATACAGGGTTTCTTTGAATGCCATTGGAACACCTGGCCAAGGTATGCTACGGAGCAAAGAAGTAATAGCCTAATCATCGATAGAAGCGGCAAAAGGAGCGTCGTAGAACAGAGGCGTACCGGCGTAACACAGGTAGCTGCTTCGAGGAGGTGCTTAGTCAAAGTTCGTCTTATGACAACCAGCCAGAGACCCCGATGTGTATCCTGTGTGGCTAACTGATCGGGATGAAGCTTTGGGCATCGAACCAAATCTTGCTATTGATGGGTCGATGTGATTATGGGAAATTCGACAATCCTCGAGGGGCTATCGAGCTTCGAAAGGCACCAGATGACTCTCCAATTCGTCTAAATATAGACGATAGGAAAAACAACGCGGAACGACATCGAGCATCGGCTGGTGGCAACAGTAGCGACTTCTGCTGCCGCTGCTATGGCAGCAGCAACGCTTACGCGAGGCAATGGCATCGAGGTATATTAAAACGAGGTGAGGGATGACACGCAGACACACCCCGGAGAAAATGACGAAGCCAAGAGCAAGCAGGCGCCAGGATAGGCACAGGAGGAAGAAGAAGAAGACGACGATGATCACGGTAGTGATGATGATGATGAACCAGAAGACATTGAGCCTTGGAGGGATGGACGCCCGCGATAACTGCTTCCTGATGGCTTCCAGTGCCACCACTGGCATCACGACCACGAACCGCCCAGTTCTCTTGACCGGGCGTCAATAAAAACAACGACATAACAAACGTACAAGTCGCTCAAACAGAGGGACCGCTAAACACGATTGCTCTGTTGTCGATGCTATAATTGGTAGCATTTCGTTTTTTTTAAGAAAAGCAGAAACAGGGGGAGCGTCGAAGAAAAGATGGACAGAATCTATTTATAAATACGATTAGCAGAGACAAGGAGAACGGGCGAGTCGGCCGGCTGTCGAACTCGTCTCGTTCATCCTCGTGACATTTGCGTGTGAGAAGTATCAATTTGTTTCTAGACTCCGACCCCGTGCTTTTTAGACGAACAGATTGTTCTAGCATAATCTAAAGGGTACGTTTCGACAAATAGCCACCGAGCGCTAATCCCAACAGGAGGCTAGATAAGTTTGGTTATGTAAGTGTGGCATACTCTATATTCATCTGCGTTTTGAAGAAGCTAGTGGATAGCAATTGGTACGTTTCGTCTGCCTGTAGTCAGCGTCGAACGTGTGTTAAGAGCAGTCGTAAACCTATCCCTAAAACAACGAACTGCAATAACTGATAAGTGTCTATACATAAATACTAAATAACGAAGTCAGTATAAAACGAATACTCAACATTTAACTTTTACAATGCATTTACTTTCATCTTTCAGCGTTCTTCAACAAAAAAAAAAATGCTACGTCAATTGAAACACTGAGTGTTAAAAGGTGGTGTACGTAACGTCTCATGGCTTTAGGTGTATATAATTTGATGATTTTATTAGGATTCAATATGTAGTTAGTGATTCGTAGCCACTACAATTTATAGCAAGGTCGTAATTATACGAGAAAAAAATTGTCCAAGTATGGCGCAAGTCAAAAGGTGATGATTTAAGGCAGCACTAACCTAACGCGTCCTCGCCTTCGTGATTGATGTCATTGTTGAGCTAAGCTTTAGCAAGCTTCAACAGCATCTCTAATAACTGCGCCATAATTATAGGCAAGTGTTTACTGTTGCATCCGTTAGATACTGAGCGTCGGACGACATTAGCGTTCTGTAAATGGCATCGCTAAGTTTACGTCGTAACAACGCAGTTGGTCGACATTTAAAATTGACACCGTTGTAGGGCGAGGCCTTTACCGGGTCAACGGCTTCCGAAAAACTATAGCTTCAGTATATACACCACAGAGGCTGCTTACACAGCGTTAGTGGGTTCATTTCGGCTATACGCTAACGGGATTAGGAGAAGGAAATTAAGCTTATGTCGAATACTTGTTGTTTCAAAATAACTCATTTAGTAAATTGAGCTTTCTTTATTACTAAATGCTTCGGGCTATTCCACAATACAATTCCGTCCGTTTCGCCTAATCTATAAAACTAATAGAACTATTTACATTTTCGTCACAGAAGCCACAATTGATAAATTGGTTTGTTCGTACAAACTGTTTAGGCCATTACATGTGGGTTATTGTTTACAGTTACGCCTAGCCACATCTATTGTATACCAGTGCTAGCAATCTGCGGATCCAAGATCATAACGCGGATATGAGAAGGAGCTAATGTCTCAAGATAAAATTCAATCTGAGCCGGAAAAGAGAGATGTCCTTCGGCGTCTGGCGAGCGATGTCATGAGCAACCCATAGTTAAGTGAGCCGAGCTTTTCGTAAACGCATTATTTTAAGTTTGGCCTCTACGACAATCAGATGCCACATTACTAGTGCCGAACGGACGCCGTCAAGCATGTTCATAAGAGCTAGGTATTTGCCCGGTAAGACACCATAGTATACAACGAGCCACTAATCCCGTTAGAGACGCCAGGCGCTGGCGATTCGGTAATAGAAAGCATTATTCGAACGTGAAGCAACGGACAATGGACGTTCTGTTTAATACGGTAAACACTAGAGTATACATAACGAGGATGTTTTTGAATAGCCGTCACATGACTTTGTCGCTTATTTAGAGATTTTGCGAAGCTTTTTGTCTCTTCTGTTCCGCCCGATCAGTTAAAATTATGTGGTTAAACTTTTTCAACAGCTTCGGAACACCGCATGAGCGGGACGTGGGACCGTGAACTTCCCCGAAGGCCTGTTAATCAGCCCAGATTTGGCCCGGAACGTTATCTCAGAAGATATTGCCAGGCTAATATCGTACATCCTTAGCATGGAGCGCGGAAAATAGACACATGAGAGCGTGTTTGACAACTACTGAGGAGGCTAGGCTGTGGATCTTCTTCTGTAAACTTCGGTAAACTTGCTGAATATTAGCTGCTCTTCGAACTCTGACTGATGATTGGGCAAGTGTTTCGATAATTTACGAGTTGACACCATTAGGTGCAAGACACTAAGACGGATGCACGGACGCTGTTTACTTATCTTACTTAGCTCGGTGCAGCCGTTTCGAGCGACGACGCGTCATCATTGTTTGTATAGATGATGATGATGATCATCTGTAGATCACGACGTCTCACATATTCGAAAGCAGTAGCTTAGCACAAACCGAGCAATTATTAGGCTTCACTACTTTAGCACTTCGGCAACGGATTCACCAGGAACGAACGCTTGCAAAGGTGATCTGATTATCTCCGTAACCGGAACCAACGATAATTCAAAGCGTATTTGCTTCAGATTTGCCGTTCAACATCGACATTGTCTTTCCTTACACCTATAATTGTTGCTATTAGCTTCAACTCCCTAGACACGATAACACTTACGACACATTTCAGACCGGAGCATCGCAGGAAAAACACTACGAACTACTTAACAAAATGATCGCGTTAGGACTTCTGTCCGATCAGAGCGAAAATCGAAGGTAATGCAAAAGTCATAACATTGGCACGACCAGCTGAGGGCTGAGAGCTCATATGAAGGCTCTGGTGACTATCCGCTAGAGAAATGCCTTTCGTGATATACTCCGCTCGTCGTTTTGCGATGAACGTCACATCAGAGTTACCCTATCAGGATCTAGAATATGCGATTCTGTAAACGATTGGCTGCAATAGCCCCTCACGTCGTGCGTAAATGGCATTTATCATGTTCAGTTCCGCACTGCAATTATGCTCTTCATGCGATAATACCATATCGTTTCCTACGTGCCTTTTTTTACTTGCGGTATCTCTGAGTATCGTTCATTATGGTTTCAGTTCAATCAGGCGGTCTGATCGAGAAGTTAAGAATGGTCTGTGCCGTTACCATTATTATTCATGCTATACGCAAAAGTATCCACGAGCCGGCTGAACTTCTAGCCGTCATTCTAACCGTGTTTAACCAAGCGCCGACTGCTAAATTATCGTTCCGAATCAGCTTTATTTGGCCGACAAAGGCTTTTTGACTTAATTCAGGTGATAACACAGTTTTATTTCAGGAATAGTAGGCACAGACCTACAACTCTATCCTTTTTTATTTTGCCTACAGATGGCCTACAGACACCGACTGCAAGCCTCTGCACAGATCCAGGTAAACATATGTCTCAAGATGTCGCATATTACTTTTTCATTCAATTGACTTCGACAGTGATTGGATGTAGAAAGAGGCAGGTCGTGCTTAAAATATCGCACATGTACGCTGATCTATTTTTCATCTTTTGCAGGCTACGAAAATACTATCGGTCGAGCATTAATCGATCCAGATCTGCGAATGAGGGCCTCTGTCAATTGTCGGCATGTCGCGTTCGTTTGTAGATAACAATGTCGTTGATGTCTAAGACGAACAGGCAGAAGGAGGACTTGGGTGTTGACACATTCGGACTATAGGCAGAGATAGCTGCGAGGGGACACCTACCGATGGTTTGGGTTTGATATATATCGGAGCAGAAAATCGAAACCGAGAAGAGAGTAAAAAACAAACAGCAATCAGTAAAGATATAAAAAGCTACTCGAAAGAGTCACAATGTATTGCCCTTCTGTTTAAAATGAAGTGGATAACATCACTATGATATTGGTGAGACCTGATAGTCTAGGATGGGTACGAGGCTATTTTATGTACAAAAGGCTGATGAGATACATTGCGTGGTTGAAGTTTTATGGCAGCGCGACGAAAATAACATCAAGCGGTTGTTTCTCTTTGACCGATAGCCATATAAATGCAACATGTTACGACGATAGTGCGCGAACTTCCCAGACATATTAGGGAAAAGAAAGATAAGTCGTCAGAGAAGTAGGAGCTAATGACTGAATTTGCTTACTGAGCTCAACCTACATACTAAAACTTGTTTTTTTCTTTTGGGTGGTGCTTAATGGGTAAAAGAAATTGGGCGGAACGATTTTAAAAGTGAATAACTTTTTAACGCTAGTAGACGAAGTTTGGTTGCTAGATACTCCATTCCCCTAAAAACTCCTGGAAAAAAACCGGTTGAGTTTACTCCAGGAAAAATTAGATGAGAAGGGAAAACACTTTTTGGCCTGGAAACTCAATGCTCAGTCGCAAGTTGGTATTTTTCCAAAACCACAGTGTTGTGAATATCCATTGAAGCTTGATGAACACATAGGCCAAGGAAATCTTCAAGGGAAGCACGGCAAGTAAATGGTGAAACGTTGAAGACCAACGAGGAGGTTCCCAGATATCGGGATCTCAAGGGCACGAGTGTATTGCCGCAACCTACTCTGTTGGCCGAAACTGGCGTTTTACATGTAACATATTGAAAAATTAATAAAAAATTGATCCTCTTTGGTTGACTCTAAGCCAGTTGGAAATGCGTGTAGTGTACAATTACCTAAACCTTAATTACTTCCATAGACGAGGCAAGCTTCAATTTCTACTGACACCCGAAAAAGACCAAACGGGAGAATGGCATAGCGCTGATGAGAGATCGAGTTCAGTGGCAGCGTCGAGTACCTTTTGGGGCGTCTGCTATAACGTTGGTGGCATCTGTTACTGCAATGTACTCACGAAACTAAAATAGTAAATGCAGCCCGCCATTTAAATTTCCCTAAGAGGCCCATAAACCTGCAGTGTACTTGATGAAAATGCTAGACCTCATTGCCGTGTCCTAATTATTGAGCAAAGGTATATGTAACGTTGGCTTCAGTTCGCTTATTTTCTATATTGAGGTCCGTGTGTATGTCATAAAAAAAGACAACCGGCAAGCAAGCATATCCCAATGTAGATTTACTTCAAAAAGCCCTAGATAGAAATATTACTTATGGAAATGCGATTCTTAAGTATATGGCTTCCCAGAAGCTGCTAGGGTGCTAAAAATAAACGAAAGTGTCTCTAACACTTCAATCGTTCCAAACAAACTAGCGCAAGAATGGCTCCGTTACAAAGTTTGTTGAATACACAATATGTTATAAGATTATAAATAATAAGCAGCTTTTAATTTAGGCGAGGTTACGGTATAGAGGCCATAGCCACTAACCAATATATTGTCAGTCTGTAACCAACTGCTCTGTTCGTTACAAGTTGGCGGCTGTGACAAAGCTCACCTTCGACCAAATTTGTAGAAGTGACCGAGCTACAAGACCTGAAAACTGGCCAGCTCTGCGAAGAAGAGCGCGGAAGCCACTGATCAAGAGATAAAAAAAAAACTCATGGCCAGGTCGCTGTGAGAAGCAGGCCACCGTCGAGACAACCGTTAGCATCGGTAGCGGCGTCAGATTACCGTCCATAAGGTACCATGCTGAATGAAAGGGTGAAAGAGACAGCGGAAAGACTTTCCCGGAAAAAACTAGTGTCGACGAAAAAAGGCTTGGGCGACAAGAGAAACGTAGCCTACGAGGTCGCCACATTCGGAGTGTAAAGAGTTTAGGAAAAAAGAATGCCGAATTCACACTGCAACGATAGACGGAAGTCTGAGTACGCCAGCGTCGGAGGCGCGCGATGGTCGAGAATTCCTGTGCTCAGTTATGGCTTATGATGCAGAATAAGCTATCTAAAATACCTATGGACGGTGATACGGGTGGGTGGCGGTAACTGAAGCAGTAAGACATACCTATAAGACTATAAAGGTTCAAAAAGGTGTTTGTTTCGTAGCGCAGACTTTACCCACTACAGCCTAATGAGTCCTGACTCGTCGACCGCGATTGAAGTGTGCTATGAGGAATTGGCGGAGACGATGAACAAACTCCAGAGATAGTAAACAGAGCTAATTAGTCTCTCCTTCTAAGTATATATCAAAGTACTGAAACTAATATATTCTTCTATAAGTAGAGGCATCATTGCCCTTCCTAAATGCACAGTAGCTTCTCACTCGTCTGTTACACTTCGATTTTTGTTCTACATAAGGTCGCATCTGAAAGCAGTCACCATTCAAAAAAGGCTAGCGCCTCGAATGTTCCTGCGGTCTTTACAGATGGGTGTGTCTTATTTAATTTTAGCCGAACTGAGGTAGCAAAATGTGTTAAACGTTTGGTTCGGTTGGATCAACGGCTGTTATCAAGCTGAATGTGGGCCTTCTGGTATTTTTTGGTGAAATATCATTCTCGATAATGTGTTGCATGGGTATCGACCGTGTCCAAGCGAATGTATTAGTCAGCAACACGAGCCAATCTCTAATATAGCAATCGGATTCTAGATAATTCTAATTGTATGTAAAATATGATAAGCTATCCACTTGCGAAACGTCTCGAAAACTATGTGCAAAAATCAATATCTTGTAACTTGCACATCGTGTCACTGTAACTAGTAATAACATCCACCGTAACTAGTGGTAAACATCGACTGAATTCGAAAAAATGCCCTTTCTATAAGTAAGTTCAAATTAGAATCAAGCTTTTCATTGAGGGAAACGCCTGGGGGGTAACCTGAAACAAAGCCAAACATTCTGTTCTGAAAAATAGTTGAAGACTTCTCTAGGAAGGTATATCATCCAATAATATTTCGACTATTGGAGAACAACTAGGTATTACCTATTATTCTAGAGAAGTTACAATATTTGTTCGGACTTTTCCTATGTGAGAGAAATAATTGCTCCGAATTAGCCTAATCTACCTCTACGTAGATAAAGTGAATAAGCTAGTCGTAGTCAGCAGCATAAGTAGAAGCAGCACAAAATAGTTGCCCCCTGATGGGCGACGTGTCTATGTGCTGCCTTGAACTTGAGAACATGTCGTGGTCCAGGTTAGCGTCGGGACCACTTCGTTCCCTATTGAGAACCAACTGTATCAAACAATGTGTAACGATTTTCGACATTTTTTAGATAGACGCAAAAAACGTTGCCACTTAGCCTAATTTTAGTTTCAAATTATTTGAAAATAATGTTGGTGTCTTTTTTTATTCTCAGATATTACGAGGAAGAAAAATGTTTTATTCAGGAGGCAATTTTAGAAAAATTCATTTTAGTTCAACAATACTCTTAAAATGGTGCATATATATATATATATATATATATATATATATATATATATATATATTGTTCTAGTGGAAGAAAACTCATTATAGTTGTAAGCTCAAATGGGACGATTGCAGAGTTGTACGAACGAAATCATGTACGAATGAAGCTTTAGAGCCCTGATTTTTAAAGATGTCCCTACAGATTATCGATTTACACGTCCACCGTTAAATAACAGTTAAAAAAACAGTTGGTGGTAAAATTTATTCTACTGGATCTATAGAATTTTTGTAACTATAATATGGTATGAAGGAATACTTTATTTGGTTATTAAAATGTATTTAAGCACGTACACCAGCTGTATCCATCAACGAAAATTCTTTCACTGGGAACTGATTAACCCTAAGTAGGCTTGTAGCAAATTACTTCAAAAGTTTTCGGGAAAGCGGATTCTGCCATTCGTAGAAGCCCCCAGCTATGAGATCGTAATAAATAAGGCTGTTATAATAGCGCGAAGGCGCGTACAAGATGAAATTTATACGGAAGTATCCTATAAGCGGCAATGCCGCAAATGCGTACAGAACTTACATCTAAACTAAAAAAGCATCAAGCAGGGTGACAGCGAAAAAAATCGCAGACAGGGAATCATAACTCCGCCATTATCAGAAGCCTAACTCACTTCGTTAACTTTGGGCTTTGACATTAGAACAGCTTTCTGTCTCTAAGGGCAGACGGCCAAATTCGTCTAGTACTTTTAATTTATGCGACTTCGCTGGCAGTTGACTGTTAGCTGGGTGCCCAAAACAAACTACCTCTACGGAAGCTGCATAACGCAAAACAAAACAAATATATATATACATACATATATATATATATATCTATACAGAATGAGATTAATAGTCTCATTACTATTACGGAGACCTATATACAATATGAAGCAAATATGGCAAAGGACGAGCTATGCTAAAACGCTCCGTGTGTAATTTTTTACGTTAACCTGGTCGATTGTTGTGCTTTTCGGGTGGCAACATTCTATTATACTGAGTAGAAAATAAAATCAACCTGGTTGTAATACTAGAAGATAAGAATAATTAACTGGACAGGAATAGACTTAGAATAATGCCTTAAATTTGTTTTTCATTCCTGTGTTCTGAATTCGATTCGCTGCATAACTCTGTTACGGTCATCCCAGGGTACTACAGTTAAAGTTTCCTTGAGTGTTCGTGCAGATCCCCGCATTTTGTAGTCAAAATTGAGGAGGATCTATATGGCTGATTCTCGGGGGCATCAATTGCCTTTTCTGCGGGGTGCTGCATCAATCTAAGGCACACTTCTGGGCTTCTGTTAAATGTCCTACAAAAAATCCTTACAAAAAGTTGTTGCTCATTTATTATAATGGTCTGTTAAACTATCGTAAGTCTATATACACTGGTATAGCCATTAAATGGGGTTTTTGAGAAATAGCTCTCCTTATTCTACTGTGGATAACCTTTCTTTTTCATTTTCTTTTGACCCACTCATCGTTTTCAAGATAATCAAGAACGATTAATAGGATGGCTCAACTTCACAGAATAATGTTTTTACTACTAGTCATTCGTAGCACTAACCTCATGATCTCGTAACGTAGTCAAGGCCATCTATCCACAAAGTAATCATCATCAGAATGTGTACCTTAAAAGGATTTCCTTGTTCTACGTGTTTTCGATTTCGGCAACGAAACATAGGACTTTATCAAATCCATCAAAAACAGCCAATCAGCTATTTTAGTGAAAAAACTATAGAAATTTAAAAAAAAAAAGTTCTGCTTTGAAAAAATTCGACCCGACCATCAGGTTCTTGTTGTCTCTTTTAACGCCTACCCTGGCTCACCCTCAACTAATGTAATGTTACATCGTATCTAGATCTGCAGTGGTAGCAAAAGGATCACTGATCTAACAAAACATTACGAATATCGTAAATAAATTCAGTAGTGTTTGCCAGTAAACAAATCGATTCTCTACGAACACGAAAACTTTATTTATGATAAATTGTAAAAAATTAAGCACTAAAATACGTGTGATACTTGAGCGTAACGTTAGTGGTATCGATGTCTTTACTATTATTCCATGGAAGTGGCCAATTAGATAAATCACGCAGCGTCTTTTTCAGTACACGACTGTGTTCCTGATGTTTCTTAACGTTTAAACTTTCCGTTAAACGTCCTTTAAAAATTTAATTTTAAAAAAAAGCTTAAAAAAATCTAATTCCAAGTAATGCAAAAAAATCTCACGCAACCAGCACAGCATCGGCGAGTAAATGGGTACGTCTACTAACTCTTAGTCTCATCATAAAACGCAAGCAGAAGGTGACAGTCGTTTACCCGTGATAATCTATCACATATAGACTCCGGATTAGGACAATGTGTGTTTTGCAGCACGCACTTCCTTAACAAGGTTCAGGCAAAGAATTACGCATCCAGTAGCAACACAAACGCAAATGTAGGCTAATGGATGATCTTGAATTGACAAAGATAGTACCAGCTCTGGAATAAATACGAGAGCATGGATTCGAAACAATCTGTTTCGTAGTACCGTATTGTAACATGCCGTAACATAACCACCTTTTCTATTGATAACACTCAGCAGAACTCTATCAATAACGCGCAAAAAGACTCCTTTATATGTATGTTAAGGTTATTTCGTTGGAAATTGAGCAGGGTGGCCGGTAAATAATATTGATGGTATACGAGTACTTATTTCACTTATATACCTGAAACCAATATGGGTGTTGGTTACAGCCATGGCTTTCTCTAACTGCATACTCTCTCGTTGGCTTTTTTTTCATCCTAAAGGAATTCAACTTGTACCACAGGTTATTTAGAACACATGCGAAACTACTTAAAATATATGCAGCGTTGTTTATCATTTCCAAGTTGAAGAACAAGTCTTATAGGTTTCATGACTTGATATCCAGAAATAGGGTAAAGAGCGCTATTATATAGGTTAGAGTTTGCGCTGAGATGGAGAAAAAGTTATGCTAGCAGATTCGTCAAAGGCTCTTCTCTTATGTGGCCCAAGTAAAATAGATTCACTAGAATCAATTCACCTCTAAAAAATATAGAACGCAGAGGGCAACTGCATTAATCCATATAGCCTTAAAATAGAGGTTATATGAATGAGAGGTGCCACCAATGATTTTCTGCAAGGAAGCGACTCATTCAGTGAACTTGAAATGAACATACATTTTCCATAGAAAAGTTTGTGATTATGGCTAGAAAAGAAGATGCTTTTCTTTCAGCTAGGTAAGTCGGGGATTATAATTTGTATGCCAGGATCTGCAGTGGACTTTGCTTCACTACTAGCGACCTGCTTTCGAATGTCTCATGTAGTGGTATATACAAACGTTAATGAGCAAATAGACACACTTACAATGTTCGCCAAAGCGACTTGACTGTAGAGAAGAGTCGTGGTCGTCTGGGATTCTGGTAGAAACTATTATCCATAGTGATTATCCCCGGTGTAGTACATCAAACGGCAGTATCCAAACGATGCATCATACCAACTATACAACTGCACACCACACGTTGTTCACAATGGCAACATATGGTTCGATAATAGCTTGACACATGCATAAATAGAGGCGCTCCTGCTAAGCCAATTTCTACTCTCGAGGCCATTTCAGCTTTTCTGTAAAATTCGGTAAAAAAACGATATTTTTTACTTTCGTACACGCACGAAACGCAGTGGCTTACATAGCTTCATTCGACCCTGCCTCCGAGTAATCATGTCATATAACTCAATGTAATGACTTTTTATGAAATCATCATGCAACAGCCTTTATAGGACACCTTCAGTTTGTGAATATAACTTTGGGATAAACGAAGCTGTAAAGGAAAAGTGAGCTAATTAAGAAACGCTCAGACTAGATGTTGCACAATAATAGAAGTTAGATTTGATGCATTTGAACTTAAGAACCTCGATTCGAATCATAGATGATAAAGATAAGCTGATGCATCTCATGGGTGAACTTCAGTTAAATAGCTCAACCAACAGTTATTGCTACTTTATTCCAATGTCCGGATGTTATTATTGGATCTTATGAAAATTCTAATAGAAATCTGCAACTATCGGCCTATATACACCTTGCCTTGTTACAGTCAATGAAGCTGAGAGCGAATTCCGCATATTTTACAATAGTCATACAACAGTCAACACGATCTTAACTATACTGCATATTAAGTTATAAGTTTATATGTTTATTGAAAACTTACACAGTAATTAGTTTTTTCAGTTTAGACAGAGCACGTATATCCATTGATATTTACCTGTAACGCAATGTAAGCTGAAGATACTTAGAGAAGGAACGTATCCGGCGTGACAAAGAGCGTCTGTGGCCATTTCAATAGGTTGCTGGCGACGAAGAGCATTTTCGAGTCTTATTATAGAATGATTTGTTTTAGTTCACAGTTTAAAACGAGCTTTAAAAAATTAATCTGAATATTCCTTTATCATTTTGCTAAAATACTTTAGCTGAGAAACACACAAATAATATTAGTTTTCAAGCGAAGAATGCCCTAAAAAAAAGAAAGTTCAGCAGAAATAGGATATCTGTTCCACACTTACCCTACAACACTTTTCCCCATCGAACACAAAATATGGAAGGAGCAGAGCATCTAACAGATAAAACAATCAAGCTGTCGAAAAGCAATATTTCAAAAATAGCGTCATTGTAGCCATAACTGTAAAATCGTTTCTCATATTGCAGCTGCTTTATAGGCAATGAAGAAGGGCTCATGTCTGTCCTGCTGGCATACCCTTTTAGCCATATGCCTTTGCGTCTCCCTTCTTTTTCGCTCGGAACGGACCATACGGAAGTATTGTATTAGTAGCTCTGAAAAATGGATCATAATCATGCCGTAACGCAATATAATCGTTTATACGAAGAGCAGGAATATCGCTGACAACTTAAAATCGACTAAATGTACCTACTTAATTGATATAATTAACAAGGATTGTTGACGCTACGAGTTGCAACTTGACAGGAGAGTTTAGTACGAACATCTATCTTGAATCATTCCGCGTAAGAAATCAGTCATTGACCACCGATGCGATGAGGAACTTCTGGGACAGTAAGAGTTTACCTCCAGAAGGTTGTTTTTTGGCCGCGCCAAAATATTTTCCCTTGTTACCACCGTCTTGCGTTGGGATATCGTTCCATTAGTTAGTTGACACCGCCAAGCTGCTGCCAATTGTTTTCCTAATAGCCGATATAGCATTTAATACACTGTTAAAAGAGGTTTGTATTCGCCAGTTATATAGTCCTAGGTTAATTCGCATTGTGTCCGACTGTGCAAAAGTGTACGGGAGCTTTGCGATAACGTAGCTTAGCTTTGCTTTGTGGTATTCTTGTCGAGCGTATCGACCCAGAACTGGGACTGGCACACGAATAAGCTAAACCCATACGCTGCTACGTACATACCGGACGATTTTCGCATGCAGATTAGGTCTATAGCATTTGCATTGTATCAGACAGATTCGAACCCTCAGACTTGCGAAATGGAAGCACGCTATGTGAAGGTTTTTCTGTATCGTTTTTGTCTGATTTATAGTCCTGCCATTTATCAATCACTCTTCAGAATCGAATGTCGACAATTTATTAGGCTAACTTCGAATCAATATGTCGTAAACCAATAAGAAAACTGACTACAATCTAAAATTAATCAAAAAAAAAAAACTGTCTCCAGTAACGGTGAGCAACGATTAAAATCATCTGGACAAAATGTCCTTTGGTTGTGTATTCAACTATGAGATCGATATCATTTCGCTATAAAACTATACTTTGGCAAACGAACGCCTTGGGCGTTAGTAATAACAATCAGTGTTACTGGAAACGCTATTTCCTAAACGAAAATTTTTTTCAAAAAATATTTTCCATCCAATAGTAAGCGTCCGACGCGTATCAGTGTCACCACCAGATTCAATCGAACACTACTTTCTGATGAATTTGCTCAAAGGCTTTCTTCGTAGATTACTCCAGATTTGTATAACATAATCTAACAAGTCATAACAAAACCAAAAACATTAGGGATCGTAGTATTTCGACGCATGCTAAGGGAAAGCTGTTCTGTGCCGTGAAATGCTCTATATTATCGAATACAAAATATATGTGAACTTATATGAATGACTATGGTGCATATAGATGTTTAGGATCCAACGAGCATCAGTCACCATATTAGTCATTCGGTGTTCCGCCTTTACCGACGCAGTTGTAATATAAAGACATGCTTTTATGGGATGCGTTACTGACCACTCTGACAACCTTAAGTTCACTCTTCGAGACGGGATCTGGTCGTGACCGATAGGTTACGGAGTATATCGCTAACACACTAATAGATAAATAACAGCATTCTTTTACTGACAGATATCCTGCTTGTACAAACAGCCTATTATCTTGTCGACAGAGCCTCAAGCCGTCAGCGAGCCCGGCATCATTTCGTCAATATAAGAGAAATTTTAGTTTTAAAGGTTTGTTCGCCGACATAAGTTCACAAGCATCTGTTCGTAACAATCATTGCGGGACCGTTGAAATGAAGCTAGCCATTGTCGGTGCCATGCTAAGACTGTTACTAGCAGCAGCAACATTATTGTTTGGTATGATTATAACGTTTTTTTGTATTAGTTTATCGTATGTAGACGACTGTTGATTCTATATGAAAATTATTTTCAGGCTTGTTTCGCTACCTTTTTCTATATAGCCGTTAATCGATGCAGAGATACGCGGACACACAAGTGAACGTGCGTGTTCGTGTATCTCTGTCCGACATACTGTATGTATTGTAATTAAACAGTAGCTAATATAGCCAATTTACATCTAAGCAATATGAAATCGTTACGTTATATGAGGATGGATGATCGTACGTAGACCCAATGGCTTCTAGCATAGAATTGAACAGACTTTGGCAGTTCCCTCGAAATAGAGCGCTTTTTACTGATGTACAGTAACTAGTCAACACTCGAGTCACAATAACTACATTGGTACGTAGAGGTTATTCATTAAGTTACGGCATTTTGTTGATGGTCAACTTTCAGCTTCAGTCTACGCGACTGGTTCGCTTCAGCATCGAAAATTCCGCTTTAGGCAGCGCGATAGAAAACAGTAGCGTTTCTGCGCCTGAGCTTCATTCAAGATGTAATGACGATGGTGACACGCTAATCTTAGGTAGTAAACCATGAATGAGAACAATGGCGGAATCTACGTAGGACTGGAATAAAAACGAAAAACCTATTTGACCCTTTATATCATTCAAATAGTTTTTTTTTTTCTTTTTTTAGGTTTGTTATTTTAGGTTTTACCTATAGTCATGAATAGCTATTTTCAAACTACACAAAATCTATTATTAGCGAAGTAGTTATAAGCACATCAACGCATCACGGTCAATTTAAAGCTAATCATATACTGGATGAACAGAAACAATAATACAGCAGTTATGCTTCTATTTCTCATTTTCGTTAAAATATAAGATTACGACAATATGTCCTTTTTAGTCCTCCTTTAAAAACTATCATTTTTGCATAGGTAATAACATTATTAGAAACTAACATCTACCTACCTTCTAGTTATTATTAATTGGCTTGGTAATGGTAGGTTTTTATCGTACGTTGCTCTCTTCCGCATTGCGGAAACGGTCATTTATTACGTATCAAGAAAATCTTTTTTCCTATCCCTTGTACAATTTGCACCTACGTACCTTTTCCGCTTTAGTTATTATTGTTCCGAAACATTTGAAAAGCGCGCTTCTCTCATTATCAGCATGATTGAACTACACCAAAAATTTCGAAATTAACAACGCTTAGCCATTATTTAAAACGATCTCTATGATCCAGTTAGGCAGGTACAAACGCTAGATTAATTGTAGCAGACTGTCTGCTCCATAATGTGTTGTCATACCAGAATCTATTCACGACAGATCTGCATGACACACATCTTTGGCCAACCACTCCGTCGTTACGAAAACAGTATCATTTTCGACATGCGGATTAATTGCCTACTGATTCCTAGTACTAGTAGCATTAGCTAGCTTGTAGTCACGCGACGCAAATCTGCAAGTGTAAAAATGTTCTAAAGAAACAGCGTGTTTCGTTACGGAATTGTATTTATCACGTTTTAATAATGATATAATGTGTGCATTAGCATCAATGACGTTAGGAGATAAATACTTGTTTACCTTTAGAATGCAAAAAAATTTCAAGCGATTATCGATCTCCTCTCTAACGTACGGTACAAGTACTTTACAAGTACGTCCACAATCGTTTAATCTACCTAGAAAGAAGACATCAGTAAATCGAACGCGTAGTACTCTGTATCTTCCCTGATATATTATTATTTTCCTAAAATCACCTTAAACAATATATGTATATGTACAGGCTATTAATGGTGAAAAATCAGCTGTGTTTGACTGACGTCGCGGAGATTGATTGATCGAGTGCCCGCTCTGCTTGTCGTTCTTTGTACATAGAGTTTGCTTCGAGACAGGAATAGGGTCACAATAAGCCAGCACAAGGTCACTCGAGTGTTCGGCATCGTGGACTTCCGTACGTAATTCTCACGTCTATGCTATTCCTGAGATGAACTGCACACGCCGCTTCCGGCACCGTCCTCCTTCACTTTACTGCTATTACTACTGCTATTGCGATTCGACGAACTGTTGCAGCATCCGCAGTGGTTTTTGGTGCAGACTACCTCTTTTCCAGACTTCTTTTGCTTAACACGACGGTTCTGAAACCAGATTTTTACCTGTTTTTCACTGAGGCCTAGACGAGAGGCAATTTCGATACGTCTCAATCGAGACAGGTACATATTTGAAGAGAATTCCCTCTCAAGTTCAAGAAGCTGATTACCAGTGAAAGCAGTACGAATTCGCTTAATGTCGTCGGCATGCTGGCGATCCGGAGAGCTGCGACCGACGGGTGGCACCCAGGTCCGTGGTTCGGCGACCTGTTGTTCCGACCTAGGTTCCGCGACGGACGCCGTTACAACAGATCCAAGATCTGTGAAGGACCGAGGAAGTAGCCCAATCGGCATCGCTTCTTCTCTCTTGATTTCATGTAATGCTGCGATACCTTGAGGCGGCAATGGTATATTCGGAGGTGGCGCTACGCCAAGACGAAAGGCCAGTGCTGCACGAGCTGCTGCCTGAAACGCCAACTGCTGCTCAGGGGAGATTCCGAGTTCCTGCGGGAACGGCCACGGCAGAAAGCCCTGTAGCGGTCCCATTTCCTCCCTTGAAACATATCCCTGATGAGGTGAACTGAGTAAGGACTCCATAAAGAAAGACGAGGCTGATGTTTTCGAGCCTCGTATTTCGGTAGTTTCAGGAGAAGACATAACGAAAAGGCAACGTTAATGAAAACTCCCTTATTTACTAGAAAACCCTTTGGGTACTTCAGATCCGCTTTCAATAGCCACGCTTTCACTTCAATGTACTCCTTGAACAGTTAGCACAGGTAAATTTGCACTTTGTAGATGTGATTTCCGTCTGTGCAAGCTGCAAGCTTTCCAAATAGCTTGCGTTTGACTGCGAGGACAACATCGTGCTGCACTTAAAGTATCCCCGAACCCGTCCACCAGCCGGCCAGCCAAGCTTATGGTGGGAGAGGGCCGCATGCAACAAAAAACCCACCCATGCTTCATCCTCCATCGAGTTCCTAACTCGTACCTGACCGCCGTTGAGGCGCCGCCCCCTTTCGGCGACCTCAACGGCGGCCTCTGTGATCACCCCGCATCCCCTGCCCCTCGAGCCTATCTCGATTACTCGAGCACTTAGACTTCCGAAATCTCCTTTCTCAAAGAAAAGTAGAGCTGGTCGCCAATCTCTCGATGGGTTGCATTTTCGCTTAACAGGATTTTTTTTATGCAAGCGAAACCTAGCTCAAGCAATTTGACTCCATGAATACATGTAGTATCTAGAGTAACCGCCTGAGTTTAAATGACAAATTATTATTAGTACTATTATTATTACACACGATTTGTCTCTCTTGCCTCTTTATCAAGGCGCTTAATGCGCTGTCCGACACTCACTTTCATCATTGATGCAACTTCTCAGCGCCAAATAGTGGTAACGACAATGAGAGAGTAAAAGCTTTACTGAAAGGTCTGATTCAAAAACAGTCCTCAGGTTCATTGTCTAGCCTAGGCAGTACATAAAGTTTCAAGTTTGTTTCTAGTTCTAGCGATATAAAACTGCTGCCCCAACCACTCCATGGTAGGCGGCCGTATCCTTGTGACTGTATACATATGGCTATACAAGGCCTGATGATAAATTTTAAAATCCGCACGCCATGGAACTGTTTAATCTACGGAATTATGAAGAAATATTAATTTAAATCCTCGAATAGTTGCTAATAATAGACTAAAATTATCGCTCTTAAACCATAAAGGTACTAAAGTAATAGGTGCATATAAATGGGGTATGTGATGATGACTTTCTTCATTCATACGAGTTGTATAGTAAGGCATCGTTGATCAATCTTATAGTAGCGGCCATTCCCAATATGGACCATATAATGAGGTGTTTGTCATGAAGGATGATCTGAAAGAGGGTCTCAAAAAAGGGCTCAATTGTGAGAGATAGTCTTCGGCGGATTCGACAGTGGTAATCACCGCCATGAAATGAAGTGTCTCTTCTTGCATAGGACATAGCGCAGACTATCATTGTGCTCTATTATTTGTTTGCTTTTTATGTATATGCAGGATCCAAAATAAAATGAAGAAGGACCTATAAAGTATTACATGTGAATATATTGCCCATAGATAAATAGTTATTACCTGAAGCGAAATTCAATTTGAGCTTTTTCTATTGGCGACGTTGTTGTCGCTTTAAATAACTAACCGCTATACCAGGACGACATCCATCGCATCAAGGAGCATATAGTTACCGGCTGAGCCGTGTATACGGACGATGAGGTGAAAGTCAAATGCATTCAATCCTCCTTTAATTAGAAGGAAAATTCCGTTTAGCGCTAGTACTATTCCGGGCTGAAGGTATACCCAAACCTAAACAACGACGCTATGAAACTTCCACGAATCGCTCGTGACAACCTATCTGTGTACGACGATATTTGCCAGGTGACATCGTGGATATCATTACTCCGTAGTGCGATATAGGCGCTGGCTTGAATACTGCTTACGCTTTTGCTTTAGCTCAACGCACAATATTTTTAAATACTAAGTAATAATAACAACTACATATTACGTCTGTAACAGGATATTATAACGAAAATACAAGATACTGTGTCCTGCATCCAGAACAAAGTGTAATTAAAATATATCTACCTAACTGTTTCGGTCCACGATGAAGCTCGTATCGATACTACTCTGATGGTATCCTTACACTAAAAACATTTCGGTACCTCACCGAAGAAGCAATGGCATGAGGTCTCGTTTTTTTTTTTAATCTCATATTCGAAAGTCGAGGGAGCTTCTAGGTAAGGTTTATCCACCTGAAATGCTCACATCGGCCAAACCGTGAACTAACCGCTGTTCTGTTGCAGATAGTAAATTCGAATAACAAACAAATACGGTATTATATCCTTGTACGTGGTAAATCTATAAGACTGACGTCTCACTAGTGAACGTTGCATTATATACAATCAATACAGTAGATTCTGTGAACAAATGTTTTCTTTTGCGGGAAAAATAAGCAATAGGACCACTAGGACAAAGTCCTTCCATGTGGCTAATGGCGTTCGATGTAACGATGCGGTGTCCCGTTTCAACAAAGCTTCAAAAAGAAGCCCCGCTGCGAATTTATACACAAACATTGAATCCATTATTAACTCTATTGGTTCCCGTTCATTCATTGGAGTAAATATAGATTTCGTGCTTGAGGTCGCATAATAGAATCGCGTTTTTACTCCTTCTATGATACTTTGATTTTATTTTTACTTAGCTAGCACGCATATACCTAGATAGGTAAAGAGCTAGGGAAAATGGGGAGGTCGCACAGAACTTGTGTTAGTTGCGCCGAGACAGCGATGGCTATTAAAAAATTGATTGTTTATAACATGTTTTTTTTAGTGAATTAAATTTATTTCGATAAAAAAAGCCTTGCATGTGTTAAAATACTAACTGGTTATTTTGAAATTAAGCTGCACAACTATCTCGCCATAAAAAATTTTCAATTTTCGATATTTTTTTTATTAATTTCAATATTTTTCAAGCTTCGCTGTAATCAATTATTCTCGATATTTATCATAAGTAAATGCTGCCGTACGTTTAAAAATTGACTAGTTGCTAGTTACTTCCCCCCTGGTTTCCACCGTCGATTTTATAGCTAGCTAGTCCAATTTGGCCCGTCTCCAAAATGCACACCGTGGGCAATTTTCTGATTTCTGAACGATCGTAACAGGTAAGGCATATAATTTTATAGGTGCACATACCTCATCTATACAAGACAGAGTATCGTATACGGTCATAATCTAAATTAGTTTAATGCAATTGGCTAACTGGAATAATGACTCCTAATATCCATCCGGTTTATTCATGTTGGGAACCATAAGATTCAGTGTTTGCTATGGATCATTTGTTATTATTGAGCGACGGCCGAACAGCCAGTCGACCGTAGAGGTCGGGCTTTAGAACTTGTTATGATATCAAAGATGACTGAAGCATTTTTTGAAAGCACATCGGGAATATGTTTGAAGTTCTACACATATGCAGTCATCGTTCTAACGAGTTCTTCGTTGGCCTCGAAATCAGGATGACTTGTGGGGTGGTCTCTGATACTACAATAAAACAACAGAGGTGGACCCACGGTCCTACACAGGTTAGAAAGGGAAGCTCCATCTCCCTCCCTGACTTCTCTAATTAGACGTCACAAGGAATGGCGAAACGGTCAGTGAGACGATGATGGATTCTATTGTGGCACACGTGTGCTTCACTTGGACCGTCGGCTGTCGTTCTACTGCTGCTAAAAGGCACCTACTTATTTAATTCACTTAACTGTCGTTGACTGCTAAGCGGAGAAGGAAGGTCTACTAACTGTTGCTGATATAGCTGTTATTCGTGCTGTACATAATTTGTTGTTATGGCCTTTCGTGTAACAAGCACAGATCGAGGACAAAAAGTACTCTAGTAACTTTTCCCCGAATAAACCTACTGTAGCCACCGAGCGTATTGTATCCTGCTAAAAATGATTTACGGAGATAAAGACGCCGAAATATTAGATACGAAATGATCCGGTAAAAGCGTCATCATTTCGTGGAAGTGCATACAGCAACGTCGAACTTATCGATACGTAGCTCACTTCCTCGCTACTTTATCTGAAATCGCTTGCATGAATGCCCATAGGATCGTCTACCTTAAGCTGAAATGATTTGACTAACAAATCTTTGGGTTTTGCCTACGATGCTACCGTTAAACATTGTTTACATAGGTGGCCCTAGCCGAAATGAAGTGTTTGGGCCCAATTTCGAATCTAAACCACCTCCCATGAATCTAGCAGACAGATTTGCCGCTATTGCGTCATTGTCGGAACGAAATAATTTTGTTTACGTTAACATAAACTATCGCTTTACTCGCCGGTCACCGCATATCGCTGGACAGGCGTTAGCAAAAAGAATCCTCGATTGTTTCAACAGATGATAGAAATGCGGTCCTCGGTTGTATGCGCTCTTGAGCTCTATGTAATCTATTGTAAAAATAGGATTACAGTCATGTTTCAAATATACTTGTGTTCCAATATGTAATAATTTGTAACTTGACAAAAAACCGCTCAAGGTGATATAGAGCATAATGTTCTACTCCATTGTATTGATAAGCAGGATCCTTATGAGCAGATTTGGTTCAGAGGGCGGGCCATCGAATTTACACTCAATTAACCCTACTAAAGTCGGTGCTTGGAAGAGCGTGCCACGAAATAGAAATATTAAGCCAAACACAATGTTTCTAAATCTAGAGCCAAACGAACTGCCTAGGACCTAATAAACTTAAAAATCTAACTGGAAAAGTTCTGGTAAAAGTTCTCGGTAACTCATCCCATTGACAAATCGGCAGCCGTGTTTCATTAGGCCCGGTGTAGCCTCTCGTCTGTCGCTCAACCGTACGCCGCTAGCCTTCGTGCTGAATTAATGTTTTCAAATACCGTAATAGCTTCACGTTTCGCTTGTGATGATTTTCCGTCATTGAATTCTTAAGGTACTTGAAGGTGCCACCCTGATAAAGCCACTGCTATAGCGACAGATGGACCCTATTCTCTAACATAGACATTGCAAAGCCTCTTAAGGAAGGCTAAATTTGTCTGATAGCATACATACGCGACTATTGTTACTTGATCATTTCCTCAATGTGCTTAAAGACAGCTTACAAAGAAGATTGGCAAAGGCAGA